GGTCACGGGACCGGGCGCCCGCCCCACCGAGACCCCCGCGCCGTCCCAGAACCTCACTTAATGCCCACCTGCAGTTGGTCATTGCGGCCCAGATCCTGGGCACCTCCTCCCCCAGCCAGTCGGAGGCCGTGTGACTGGGGGACTTGTAATTCCCCTGAACCCAGTTTCCGAATCTGCACAGTGAACCTGGCAGGGCCGAGGGGCGCGAGAAGGGCGGGTGCCCCTCTTCTTGGGGCAGTGACACAGGACAGACGGAGACTGAAAAGAAGGGCATCACCGCCGCTGTGTTTAATTGGGGGGCAAAATAGAGTACTGACCGGAAGGCACCTGTGTAAAAGGCCGCGCCGCAAACGCGGGGCAGCAGGACGGCTGCTGAAGGCTCACGGGGCAGTCGGCCCACGGTCCCCGGTGAAGGAGGGGAGGCCCCTCACTGCGCCAGGTCACCGGAGAGTGTGATCCAGCAGGACAAAGCACATCTGAAGGCTAAAATTTCCAGTGTGAAGAAGAGAAATGGGAACGTACTGCATGAGCTCCATCCCGCCGCCGGGAAGGGACCCACCACTTGCGGCAGCCCTCTCCTGTCTCCCCGCTGCTCCCCTCAGCAGCGTACCTCATCCATCTCCTGTTCTGCTCCCCACTGTCTCTGTTGAAGCCCTGCACCTCTGGCCTGGACCCCAGTTCTGTATGCATACATAAATCTTTTTTTAAAAAAAGTAAAGCTCTGGATCCCAGGTAAATCACAGCAAGCATTTCTCAGCACACTGCTGGGCCCATTGGAAAGCGAGGGAAATCACTAAAGGAAAGAACACTGACCTGTACTAGGAAAAAGCAGGTTCGTCCTGGGGAGTGGCTAAACCCTGGGCCCAAGCCAAGCAGGGGGGACGCCTGGGCCCCCCGAGTTGAACTTGGACTCTGGGGAAGGCTACCAGGCTAGGTCAGGGCACCCTGCCAGAGCAAGTGCAAGTCTGTACGAGAGGAGAACGGCCCCCCTGGCCTCTGGGTCCCTTCGGGTTACGTCTACAAAACAGGGGCCACAGCCTGAAGCCGCAGAGTGCGCAAAGAAGCATGCATACACGAACAAGTCTTCACGGGAAAGAAGCAAGCTGCAGGGCTGGAGCCGGCAGGCCACGAGGCGGCTGGAGCTACGCGTCACAGGCTGCCGCGGGAAAGTCGACAAGCTTCGGCGACGTGGCCTCAGGCAGCCCCTATTTTCTGAGCACAGAGGATTAAGCTGAAAATCACTGTCAATAAGATAAAATTTTAAATATCTACACATTTGGAAATGTAAAGACTTTTCTAAATAGTACATGAGTCAGGGCCTCCCTGGTGGTGCGGCGGCTTGAAGCGCAGCACTATGAAGCCATCTGAGCCGCTGCGGCACACATCCGATCCCCGCCTGGGAGGTGACCCCAGGGCGCGGCAGCCCTCTCCTGTCTCCCCGCTGCTCCCCTCAGCAGTGTGCCTCTTCGATCTTCCTGTCCTGCTCCCCACTATGTCTCTGTGAAGCCTCTCACCTCCCGCAACCTCTTACTTGTACCCCAGTTCTTACATGCATAAATATCTTTTTTAAAATTACTTTTAAAAAAAGAGTCAAAAAAGTCATAAAAGTAATTTAGAAATTGTTAGAACCAAATAATTTAAGTACCAGAGCAACGTGGGGAATACAGAGAAGCGGGGTCCTTGGAAACTCACCACGGGAAGCCCGAAAGCCAGGTGTGTCAAGGTTAAGTCGTACAAGCATGGGGAGTTCAATCTAAGCCTGACCGGAAGGAGACACTGCAGGTCACACCCATAATCAGGGACATGGACGCAGACCAGCGAGGCGGACAGTGATGCACTTCTGGTGCCACTGCCCGGGGGAGAAGGCACGAGCAGGGCAGGTGGGGACGCGCCCTCGCCGGGCAGCACCTTCCTTTCAGCAAGCGCTGCCCAAGGCCCAAGCCGGCCCAGTCAGGCAGCCGAGAGCCCGTGACCGTGAAGAGCGGGGCCGGGGCGGCTTTTCCCCCACACCAGGCGTCCCCCAGACTCTCAGGGCGGCTCTCGCCAAGCCTCCGTGGGAGCTGCGGCGGGCGGGAACACAGCAGGGGGCGCCTCGACAGCCTTGCAGGGCGCCCACTGGACACGCAGGCACGGGTGCGGGGGAGTCCAGAGCGGGCCGCGGGGCTACCGGCTGGCCAGCCCAGTGCGGCCGTGGAATGTGACGTGGGACCAGCAAGGAGCCGCCGCACTGCAGCCCGGGAGAGTCCGAGGGAGACTGTGGAGCACCGGACCGCAGGGCCTGGCGGGGCGACTCCTGGATGGGAGGCCACAGGCCGGCGGCTCCAGGCTCCAGGCGGGCAGAGGCCGCAGCCTGGCCGGTGGCCGCCGGGAGCAGCGCGCCAGCGGCTCGTTCCCGACGCTTTGGTGGGTGGGCAGGGCGCTGGGTCAACGGTCCGCACTTCATTACATTTCGTGACTTGTCCTCGTTAGACAGGCTTGGTGGGAACCAAACGGTGCGCTGTACTCAGAAACCGCCTCCCCGCGGGAGACGCCAGTGCTGGGGAGAGCCCCGCCCCGCCCGGCGCTGCTCCGTGCGGGACACAGGGCAGCCCCCCGTGGGCTGCGGGGTCCAGGTCCCCTTCCCTGGGGGCCCCCACTGCTGGGCCGCCTCCACCAAACAGCCACACCCCAGGAGCCCTGGGCCACTGATCCCACACTGGGGAGGCAGGATGAGTCCAGTGAGCCAACGGGGATCAGTGTCGCCTGTGCCGGGGCTGGGGCAGAGCTGAGAGGAGGCAGAGGCGGAGGGACCCGCCCAGCGGGGCGCAAGAACAGATTGTCACAGCAGAGGTCCCGCCAGGCGAGGAGGGGGCCTCCCCGCCCCTCTGAGGGGAGCAGGGAGAAGAGGTGACAGCCACGTCAGGAAACGTGAGGCTGAGGAGGAGAGGAAGCCAGGGGGAGAGGAAGCCAGGTAGGGACCTCCACCCAGCCGGCCAGGGGCACGCGGCCAGCACGGGGCAGGCAGCCGCCCGCCAGCCCCCACCCGCGTCCTCCGCCACTTGCGAGGAGGCTGATGCCACCCTGTCCCCCTAAGGTGCAATCCGTGAGGCAGAAGCAGCAGATCACCTGCCGCCGCCCTGACCGTGTGACTGGCAGGGGCTGGACACGTGGCCGGGCCGGCCTACCCGGAGCGGGCTGGGGCCTCTGCTAGACCTCCTGGCACAATGGGCCCTTTCTGGCTGGACGCACACGGGAACACGCCCCAGGAGGCTGCCAGCCGGAGGCTCTGCCCCACAGACAGCCCCCGCTGCCGGGCTGGCGTCGGCCGGGTGTCCAGGCCCGGAGCCTGCTCGGCCTCCGCTGCGCCGGCCCCGTGGGCTGGCGACTCCCGCCGACCGGCGTGTCCAGCCCGTCAGGGCCAGGCTTCCTGCGCTGGAACCAGAACAGCCCAACCCGAACATTCATCAGACTCACCCCGTCCCGCCCTCCCCGGGACAGCGCGAGGCCCAGGGACGGCCACTGCAGGCGGCTAGAGCCAGAGCGGCGAGCGAGGGGTCAGCAGCCGGGAGCAGGCGCCGAGCGAAGCGGGTGCAGAGCGGGGCAGGGCAGCCGGGCGAGAGACCCGCGCCTCAGGGAGGTGGCGCTCTGAGGTCCTTCCGCTCGGGGGGCGGGGAGGTCGGGCCGGCGAGCCCCTTGGGGTCTCCACTGCCCTGCGCTGCCGTGCCTGCCGCCCCCCGCCCCCCGGGAAGGGCCTCCTTTTGGCTCCGACTGCCCTTGATGACACTCACTTTTGGGGCGACAAGAGGCATTTTTCCTCCCATTTCTTTGGCGTGGCGGGAACCGGGGCCCCTTCCTCCTTTGGGCACAGCACCGTCGTCCTGGCCTGCGGCCAGCACCACCCCCTTCCCTGCCTCCCGCGCTGGCCCTGACCGCTCCGACCCTCCCGAGGCCCCTGTCTCCCGCGGGCACTCTGAGGACTGGGCAGAGTCCGCGACAGCCGCCGCCGCGGCGGGGGCAGCGTTCCTCTCCCTGCTTCCGCCTGATTTTTTCCGAGGTCGCCCCCTTTTCCTTCTGGCGTCGCTTCCTGGATCCTCTGTGTCCTGCTTTGCTGCTTTAACTGGGGGGTCCTGCCCGCTGGCCTCACTCACAAGCACCTCAGCTGTCCGCTTGACCCCCTTATCGTGGGGTCCTAGGTCAGCACCTATGCCCACCTCCCTGTTCTCTGCGCCCTGTGGCTGAGTGAGCCCCCCAGGAGGAAGTTGCCCCGGGCTGGGGCCGGGCAAGGCGGGGACAGTTGGCAAGATCATGTTGATGATGGGTACTGGGGCCTGGGGTCCCCCAGCCCTGCTGGGCAGAGGCAGCGTAGCGACTTTCAGGGCGCCTGAGGGCAGCTTGGGGGCCAGGATGGGTGGGGAGACTCGGATCGGGGGCGCGAGCGAGCGAGGGGTCCGGGGGAGGAGCGGCGGCAGCCGGGCCACCAGGGCGGTGACCTGCGGGTTACTGGCCGCGGGCGCCGGGCTCTCGGCCATGCTCTTCTTCCGCTCTCCACGCGCCGGGGGGCCGGGCCCCGCCCTGGGCTCCAGCTCCTTGGGAGACTAGAAGCAGAGAGGACCGGTGAGCTGGAAGACGGGGCGCTGGCGAGGAGGGCGCGGGGTCAGAAGCACCAGGCCGCCAGAGGCGCACGCCACGCTGGGCGCCTCACCTGCGTCGGCCTCTCCGGCCTTCTGTGGGACCCGCCCTCGGGGCTCTCCACTCCGTTCCTGGACTTGGACGGCCGCTCCCGGGGGGCATGTTCGTCCTCTTCTGCAGAGACGCGGAGAGGCGACCGTGAGGGGGGCGGCTCGCTCCAGAAGGGCCTCTGGAACAGGGCTGGTCGGGGTGGTGCGGCGGGGGGGGGACGGGTTCCCGGAGCCCGGCCACCCACCCGCGAGCCCCACGGCCTTGAGCACGTGGGCGTGCGCGGAGCGGGCCGAGATGAGGTGCTGCTGCAGCAGGAAGCGGGCCACCTCCACGATGGAGCTGAAGGAGCGCTTCAGGACCCGCTCGGCCCAGTCGCAGGTCAGCGCGCAGGCCGCCTCCACCAGCTCGTCCCGGGGCGCCGGGGCCACTTCCGGGCCCACTTCCGGCTGCAGTGACAGAGGCACCCAGTCACACGGCAAGCCCACGGCCTGCCCTGGGCCGCCGCGGCCACCGCTGAGACCAGGGTGGGCGGGCGTGGCTGCGGGCGGGACCTAGGCCTCCCCACAGCCCCGCCCAGGCACCGGGGCCACTTACGCTCTCCGAGCCCCTCAGGTCGAGCCCGGGCAGGGGGGGCATGGACACCAGGGTCTTCCTGCGAATGCCGCTGTAGCAGTATCTGCCACGGGTTAAGGCGCAGCCAGAGGGGCCTCAGAGCCCCCGGGAGCGAGGCGCTCCCGCCTGCCGCCCAGCCCGCCGGCCTCCCCCGCCCCTGGGCTATCCCCGAGTCAAGGATACTTGGACTGGCCGCGGCCGCCCAGCCTCCGGGCCTTGATGTCAGGGAAGATCTCTCGGATGATCTTGCCGAAGTTGGCGGTGCTGAGCGGGCGGCAGCAGGCGAGGCTCTCGCAGTACTTCCTGCGTGAGCGGGGCAGAGCGGGCCACTCAGCGGCGGCCAGCCGCCCTGGGGCCCAGGTCCGGGAGCCCCCGGCGCCCCGCGCCACCCACCGGTAGGCGTCGTAGACGCTCTGCTTGGGCAGGCAGGTGTCGGCGTGCTCCTCCAGGTGGTTGCGGATCCACCTGCAGGCGTGCATGGACTCCTCGCTGCCCAGCGCGCCGGGCTCCGAGCTGCGAGGGAAGCCGGGCCCCGTGACCAGCTGGCACCCGCCGCCCGCCCAGGGCCTTCCCTGGGACAGCCGACTCGGCGGACCTACCTCTTGTCCCCGGCGCTGGGCCCTGCGGGCAGCTGCAGGTAGAGATAGAGCTTGTCGTTGTCCGAGAACTTCTGCACATCTTGCTGCGGGAGAGGGAGGCGGTCACGGGCCAGCCGCGCCGGGTCCCTGAGCTCCAAGAAGCCTAGCTGACCGAGCGACCGTGAGGCCGGAGCAGGCGGCTGAGGAGGCCCGAGGCTGGGCACTCCCCGACTCTGGGAGGGAGGGGAGCAGGGCCCGCAGGACTCGCTGTCTAGCAGACCTCACGCCGGCGGGCGCAGGAGGCGAGGCCAGGCAGTCCCACGCCGCCCTCCCAGGCCAACCTGTCGCCACCCAGGCCCGCCACGCGCACCCCGCCCTCCCCGCGGCCGTCACCCCCCAACACTCACCAGGATCCCCTCTACTTTGTTCTGCACGGCCTTGCTGCGGAAGGAAGAGGAGAAGTCAGCGCTCACACGGGAGACGCCGCCAGGCTGCTGGGGACACAGGCTTCAGGGGCTCAGGCGCTGCACTGGGGGTGCCCTGGAGGGTCGCAGCTGCCCTGCACAGGAGGTTCAGCGCTGCGGGCACCTGGAGCTGGGCACAGGCTTGAGGCGGTGCCGGTACTTACGAGATGGTCCCTCGCAGCTTCTGGAGCAGGGTGGTGGGCTCCCCGGCCTCGCTACTGCCTGGGGGGGGCCTTCCGCCAGCCTTGGGGCTCCTAGCATCGGGCTCGTCTTCCGCCATCCCGGCATGAGGGCTGGACAGGAGAGAGGACCGAAGCTGCGACTTCCTCGCGGCCCCCGGCCCCACCGCCTGCTCCAGAAACTAGCGCTGTCCCAGCGCTGTCCGTCACCTCCGGGCGGGCTCCGCGGCAGCCCACCTCCGCGGGCTCCCAACCGCGCAAAGTAAAGGGGGCACGGGGACGCGGGCACAAGGCGCGGGCCCCGCCGCCGCCCGGCTC